TGCAGGAGATTGAACCCACTAGACTACATCCCATAGCCATCCCCCCTTCACAGGGTCTCACTTAAGCCCAGGATGGGATTGAACCTGCAATCATCCTTGCTCAGTTCTTCTTAGATTGTAAGGGTTGCAAGGCATGCACCACTAAGCCCAATGTATGTATTTTTCTTTTAATTGGTCCCTTTTAATTACAAAATATGTTTAAAATATTGAAACACAGAAGTGAGCGGGGCGTAGTAGCACATGTTATATTCCTAGCACTTGGGAGGCTGAGGCAGGAGTATCCCTGGGAGTTTGAGACCAGCCTGAATGACAGAGTTCAAGGCCAGTCTGAGCTACACAGCCAGAACCTGTCTCAAAAGGGAATAAAAAGTATGTGACTTGTTTAAGTCTTTTACTTTGTGTTCACAGGTGACTACTGTTAATAGTTGAAAACAGGAGGGTTACTACGAGTCCTAACTGTAGTGGGACCCTGTATCAAAAAACCCCAAAAACACTGCTGATCCAGATGAAAGTGTGTGTGTGTGTGTGTGTGTGTGTGTGTGTGTGTGTTACATTATGGGAAAGGCAGATGTGAGAGCCAGGCATGTACTGAACCATTGATACAGGATCTTTTTTTTTTTTTTTTTTTTGTGTGTGTGTGTGTGTGTGTGTGTGTGGCCAGCTCAGCCCACCAGAGGGCGGGGCTGGCTGGCATGTGGTGCTGGGGGATTGAACCGCGGTCCCTGTGCTTTGCTAAGCTTGTTCTAAGTAGGTGCTTTAGACCACTGAGCCATCTCACCAGCCCTGCAGGATCTTTTTTGTTTGTTCTTGGTGGTAGCGATTGAGTCCAGGGTATGTCTACTGCTAAGCACAGCTGTGCACCCTGGTGATAAAAGGATCTTAAAGTACTAAAATGGAATGGCACAATATCAACCTCAGATGAAAATGAATTATTGTGAGAACGCTAGTCCTTACTTGGGTCACTTGGTTTGTTTTCCTGTGAAACTATTTATCCTGGAGAGGCTTGTTCAAAAGCTATTGCCTCTTTTTAATGTATATATAATCATCTGTCTGAATCTTGTATTACCAACGCTGCTTCTCACCATCAATTTTTTTAGTCTTTACAAAAGTACAGAGAAGTCACAGGTTCCTGACCTACAAGACCTACATTACAGTACATCTTGCTTTCCAGTTTTAAGCTGAAGCAAGCCCAGATGATAAAAGATTGTTCAATGGAACAAGCAATCAGTGTCTCTCTGTTGATTCCTGTGACTCCAAATAGATTTGTTGTGAATGTGCTTTTGATTTGCCTTAAAGAATTTGTTAACAGCTCACTACCTAGATGTAGAATGGGCTTTATGGCAGTGAGCTGGTTTTGTGCTAGTGGAGATTGGAGCCAGGAGGGTACGGTGCCACATTCCCAGCCATTTTTATTTTTCATTTTCAGTCAGGGTCTTGCTAAACTGCCCAGGCTAGCTTCCTCCTTCGAACCCTCCTGTGTTGGCTTCTCAGGTAGTTGGGATTACTGATGTGGGCCACGGTGCTCAGCTGCCAGGAACTCTTAAGAAAGAGTTGTTGCCAAATTGTGACTTCTAGCAGATTTCTGCACCTTGGTTTTCTGATGTGTAAAACATGAAAATGATTGCCTTACGTCCAGTTCGGAGACGAAGATTCATTTCATGTATGTGAACAGCAATGCATGTGACAAAAGGCTCAACAAGAGTGAATGATGAGGGCCGGCCAGATAGCTCAGGGATTAAATTGCCTGTTTAGGCAGACAGAGACCAGGATTAAATCCCTGGGCAACAGTGCTGGCCCCGCCCCGCTGAGTCATCAACTGAGATGGGGTGTGGTGGTGGTGGTGTGGCCTCTGTAATCCCTGTGCTTGGGAGGCTGAAAATAGGCAGATCACTACGTAGTGAGACCCTGTACTGAATACATAAAAATAAATAAGAATGATATACGTGCCTGCCTGCCAAGCACAAGGTCCCGAGTTCAGTCCCCAGTACCACAAAAAAAAAAAAAAAAAAAAAGTAAATGCATCTTCCAGTTTGAAAATGTATAGTAATAATATTGAGTATCTGTTTACATATAGCATTCTCTAGTTTTGGCCTCTACATACGTGTTTTTTATTCTAGAAAACTTAACATGTTTACTCTAGAAAATTACTTAATTTCAAGAAGTAGTTTTCTCTTACCTGCTATAAATCATAAGCACTAAAGTTTTTACACCCTACGATTACAGGGATAACTCTCTGCAGATGCCCCCATTGTGGCCCTTGTACTCTGCAGCGCTTCCATTCAGGAAACTCTGCACGGGGGATGTAGGAAGTTCATCTTGTCTTTCCCCTGAATCAAAACATGACATCAAGTGTACATTGCATTTCTTCTTTAAATTAATAGTTCATTATGTAAAGATTGGTAGATACTTAACTCTTCATTTCTAAGGATTAGTATTCTTCAGTTGAGAAATTGTGACTTACTAGTATGGGGAGTATAGATTGAAGTTAATTAAAAGCATAAATAGTATGCTTCTATAAATTATCAAAGTTTTTTTCTGTGGTGCTGGGCATTGAACGCAGTCCTGGCTAGGCAACTGCCACTGTTAAACTACATCTCCACCCCTGTGAATAAGTTTACTATGTACCAGAAGAGTAGGAATTTCTCAGGATGATTTGTCGTAGAATTAGTTACATTATATCAGTTTTGTGCTCCCCAAAGTAAAAAATGGAGCTGATGTAATTTAGATTTTTCTATAACTTAACCTTTTAGACTTGGCAGCAGCTGGCCTTAGGGGCCCCCTTACCAGCCTAAAAATTATGAAGGATCCTGGAGGGCTTTTGTTCAAGTGGGTCATAGCAATGTTTATAGTCCTAAAAATAACCAAGTACTGTAAATGCTTTTAAAAATAATAGCATTATTAACATTATGAAGAATAACTTTTCCAAACCATTAAGAATAACTGCATTTTTATAAATATGTTTCAATAGCTAAGTTATATGGTTTTCCTTATTCATTCTCTTGGAATGTCACAGTTTAACCTCTGGAATACTGTATCTCTGGAATACTGTACTCCATTTATCTTTTCAAAATGAGAATGAAAGATTATGAGAATAGTTTGATCCCCATCCCCAAGGAACTCAAATTTGAGAGTATCCCAAGGTTCTTGGGTCCCATTCTGAGAATCATGTACTTACACTGCACTTAAGACCATAGCATTATAGGTTTATGTGCATCATGTTTGACCAAGAATTTGAAGTAGTATAGCCTATAATACTACAGGAATACTTAGAAATCAGGGCCAAGGAAATTATACACTAATATAGGGTATGGACTCCAGTAAAGTAAGCATAGCAGAGTTAATAATCTATTAATAGAGTCATTATTAATATTAGAATACAATTAAGTCATCCAACAATTTTTTTTTTCCCTTTTTGAAACACAGTTTTACTGCGCAGTTCAGGCTGGCCTTGAGCTCACTTTGTAGCCCAGGCTGGCCTCAAACTCACAGTGATCTTTCTGCCTCAGCCTTCTGAGTGCTGAGGTTATAGGTGCCGATAAAATTTATGTATGTGTATATGTATGTGTTTGTTTATTTGGGGGACTGAGAATGGAACTCAGGACCAGGCAGGCACTGTACCACTGAGCCATATCCTCTGCAAAAATTCCTAAAAGGAGACGTATCTTTTCTCCTTGGTTGTTTTTCCTTTTTAAAAGTAAGGTGATTATAGAAATCAGTAAATCCAGCTAGCACAGCAGTGTGTAACACTGTTTATAGTGTGTTGTATGGGGACAGTTTCCTTAAGTTTTGAAACAAATGCTGTGTAATAATACAGCCAGTCTTAAGTGAAGTAGTCCAGTCAGACACCTGCCCTAACCATTTCTCTCTATAAAGTCCAGGCTGGCCTTGAACTTATTATAATTAGGTAGGCCCTAATTGTTGCTCCTCCTGAGATTACAGGCTTGGTTTTTCTTTGTTTTGTTTTGTTTTGGTACCAGGAATCAAACTCAGGGCTTTGCGCTTACCAGGCAGGTACCATGCCGCTGAGCTACATCCCCAGACCTTGTTTTTCTTATTACTGTCTAAAAAGTTTTGTTATTCTTTCCAAATGGAATAATTCCAAATTAAAGCTGTTTGGCTATTAGAAAGATCTTTGTAGCATCTAATGATTCTTTCAATGTAATTCTTTTTTTGTAGCTGACTGGAAATACCGGCATGCAGGATTGATGGCCTTATCTGCCATTGGCGAAGGATGCCACCAGCAAATGGAAGGAATTCTGAATGAGATAGTCAATTTTGTTTTGCTTTTCCTTCAGGATCCTGTAAGTACCAGCAAATATTTCATTCCTATTACCATACTTTGCCATGGGAGCCTGTTGTGTTTACTAATGCAAGACAATACATTGCAGCATCCAAGAGTAAGGTATGCGGCCTGCAATGCTGTGGGGCAGATGGCTACCGATTTTGCACCTAGTTTCCAGAAGAAATTTCATGAGAAGGCAAGTAACAAGTTGCTCACATCAGACTGGTAGGAGGCAGAAGCCTTTCCAAAGGTATGCTGATTTGGCCTCGTTTCCCAGGTGATTGCAGCCCTGCTGCAGACCATGGAAGACCAAGGCAACCAGCGGGTGCAGGCCCATGCTGCCGCCGCCCTCATTAACTTCACTGAGGACTGCCCCAAGTCGCTGCTCATCCCCTACCTGGATAACTTGGTGAAGCATCTGCATTCCATCATGGTGCTGAAGCTTCAGGAGGTGAGCCTTAGGCCTTGCTGGGGAGCTCAGACACTCGCTCGGCAGAGCTTAGGGAAGCAGAGGCTCTCCAAGGCCATCCGGGTAGAGGGGGTTGTTCCAAGATAGTCCCATAGAAGAAAGCCAGCTTGACTAGAGCATGGGCCACAGTTGGAGTTGGGAAGGACATGGCGTCGAGGTACAGTCAGTGCACAGGTTGCCCTGAGAACATGGCGCAGGAAGCATGCTCTTTGGTGCTGTGGGAAACGGCAATGCAGCTGTGGAAAAGCAGCCTTGCTCGTCCCGTAGCATGGGTGGTGGTCAGAGATAGGGGAAGAGGGTGTTCTGAGAGACCCTTCACAGGACACGCTGGCAATTTTTGCTAATTTTCTTTTTAAATATATAGATGTAAAAGATGTTGACTGTTCTATCCAAAGTGACAAAAATTGACAGTATGCAGAAACCAGGGTTCTTTAAAAAAACGTATTTTTCAATTAAGTGCTGGCTATACAATAGGTGGTTTATAATTATAGTAGTCTGAAAAAAAACTGATGGTCAGTGTGATGCTGTGGTAACAGCGAGAGAGAAAGGATGTAGCTGAAAGCAAGGAATGAAGCCCTGCTGACAGGTAAAGCAAAAATGGGTTTAGGCTGTAAGAATGACTATAAAGGTCCGCACTTTAACAGATTTGCTTTCACTGTTAGACTCATTACACGTAAACTTAATGTCAGATTGCTGTGGAAGTTTCTCATACTCTCAGTTCCTGTTCTGATGCTCTCAATTCCTGTACTGGGCCAATACAGTTCGCACACCACAGCATCACCTGTTGACTAGTCTGATTAAGTAGGCTCCCAGGGATGAATACTTCAGAAGCCAGAGGAAAAAGCAGTTTCAGGCTAAGGCCAGGTATTCAGTGTTGAATGACAACAGACTAAGAACATAATGAAGGCAGACAGAACCTAGCTGTCTGTAGGCAGACAGAGCCACGCCCACATGAGGGGTGGATGAAATAGATGGATCCAGGGTGACTCTAAAAGTGGGCTTAGGTAGAAGGCTGCAGTGTGAAGAGACTGCCTGTGTCCCTGTCGTGCCCCAGAAGGCTAGTGGGTACATTTTTAAAGACTAAGGAAAGACTTCTCAAGGTGGGGCAGAAAAATGACAGTGGCCAGAGCTACATGTAAAGAGTGTGGCCTGGTAGAGAAGGAAAGACGTCCTTCTGTGGTCACCAGTAAGGTTAGGACTAGACACAGTGGATGTTGAGGTGCAGAAGAGCAGAGTATACTATAAGGAGCAAAATAAAAGACAGTAGAAAACATAGAGATGGATCTTTTGCGTATGAGAAGAAGACCAAGAGATGCAGGGATGAAAGAGATTGATGTGGCCTGTACATGTTCCAGGTCCCCACAGTACTTTCATTATGTACTGGCAATGTGTACTAAGAGGAAAAGATAACTTCTTTAAAAGTGCAGAATTTAAGAGCTCTGCTGAGGAGAAATTCAAGAAAATCTGGTGTAGTAGCTCTTCATGTGAATCAGTGAGGGATTGTTTAGAATCTCACAGAGTGACAGTGGGCCTGGTTCTGATACCCCAGAGACATTCAATACTAATCAGCCTAGAGAACCTGGTAGGACGGGGGGAGCGCAGGGTTCCTCCTTACTGAAAACTTCCCGGGAAGGTTGGATTAGGCCTTGACTTATTCGTTCATGAGGGCTGGTTGTAACTCAGGTTGATTGTAAGTCAACACTTTCGCCCCTGAGAAATAATGGAAATACCCATAATGCATTCCATACCTCCCAAAGCACTCCTTAGCTGAACTTTGCATAATAAAAAGGATTGTATAATGTGCATAATGTACCAGAAATACCAGTAATTATCCTAGTGTACTGACCAAAAAATTAAACTAGTTTACCAGAAACAATTTCATACCGTACTCAACATTCAAGTTTTTTTTTTTTTTTTTTTGCGGAACTGGGGATTGAACTCAGGCCCTTGCGCTTGACAGGGAAGGATTTATTCCATGAGCCATCTCCCCAGCCCCAACACATTTGACTTACAGGAAGGAAAAGTGAAATAGAAGGTGGTTATTATTTGGAAGCAGAGTGGTTGAATAATAGAGATAGGAAGCTGAGGGCCTTTCTGAAGCAGGGACGTGTCAATAATCAATGCAGCAAAATTGTTCTTCTGAACTGAAGAAAATTCTGAAAAAAAAAAATGGACAGAGCTACAAACATTTGCAGAGAAGACCCACCTAGACAGAGAAGAAGCCTTAGGACCTGCTTCTGGCTTACTGGGTCTCAACCTTTTCAGAATTAAAAGGTGGGCTAAGGTTGTCAGTTTCTGTCTTTGACACTGTTTTGTAGTGTTGGATAGGAGACAGCCTATCTGCTATGTACTGATCAGGCCCAATCCGCCTTAGCTTCTGAGATCATAGAAGATTGGACACATTCAGAGTAGTGTGGCCATAGGTGACATGACATGGTCATTAAGCAAGTCAGTGCAGCAGTTGGCTTTTGCTCTGTCTAGGTGGGTCTTGTCTGCCAGTGTTTGTGGCTCTGTGCATTTTTTTCAGAATTTTCTTTTCTTTTTTTTTTTATTTTATTGAAAAACAAATAGCAATGAGATAGTTTCAAAACAGGTTAGTAAGACAGTCACAATAATTAATACATTGCATAGTGTCTTTGTAGTGGTTATTCATAGTACAAGATGCAGACATGATAGCCTGTCCAAACACTACTAGTACAGAATTTTTTTCAGAAAAAATTTCACTGCACTGATTTTTTAATTTAGGACAGGGTGTACATGGTCTCACTATAGATCAGACTCAAAGTGATCCTTCTGTTTACAGCCTCCCAAGAGCTGGGATTACAGGCACAGGCACGCACCGCCACACCCAGTCTCAATTGCTGTCTCAGCGTGCCCTGGGGATGGGGCCAGCACAGCACACTGGAGATCGAACTCTCAGCACCCTCGTCCGCTTAAGCAGGCACATTAGTCCACTGAGCTATTTGGCCAGCCCTTCACTGCACCCCTCAGCTGCCACTCTCTGCTGCTCAGCCCAGAGTTGCTGAAGGTCCTCTTTAGGCAGCTCCTCCGAGTGTTCCTCGGTTCCTAAGCACGCCACTGTCTACCTGCAAGTGTATGGACCCTTCTGTAGTGACAGTGTCATCAACCACAGGGTTAGTTGAAGTCATAGGCTGCTTCTACACGACCTTCTAAGTCTCTCCTATATAATTTTAGGCCATGCTTTCTTAAGAAAGCATGTCCTCAGATAGGCCATGCCTTCTTTTAGGCAGATGTCAATGTCCTTAGACATTGGCCCAAGATTTCTCAGTTAACCTTAGAGGAAAGGATGTTTTAATGTTCTTTCCAGAACTCTTTAAAAGAGTTAGGTCTGTACCTGAAACCATCTGAAAGCATTTTAGGAACAGTTCTTTGGTGTGCAGCTTTTAAGTTAGCCATAACCTCCTGGTGTGTAGGCTGCAGTAGAGGAGTTGAATTAGATGAGAGGAACTTGACTGAGAACAGTAGGATTCTTCAGCCAATTGTTCCAACCTCTGGCATGAGCAGGAGCCTTGTCCATGATGAGGAGAGTCTTGAGTAGTAATCCTTTGTCCTCTAGTATATCTCAACAGGCCAGAAAGTCTCCCCAATCTGCGCAAGAACAAGTGCTGTCACCCAGACTTTCGCATTAGATCTCTACATGACCCCTTGCCTATTGTTCCTGACTTAGTTTTCTGAGCACTCTTAGGATCTCAGAGTGATGAAACCAAGAGGCTTTGTCTTGGGATCACCACTCGCACTAGCACATAGCAGTAGGGTTAGGCTGTCCGTCATGTGGCCTGGCATTTTCTTCCAGAAAAGGCTAGTTTTGTCACAGTTGAAAATTTGATGGGAGCAAAAGCCATTTCTGTCTTGCTTTCAAAGTGGTATGTGTAATTTTCAGCAGGCCTAATTTTCAGCAGGCCTTTTTATTGGCACAGGCTTCACCATGCCTAGTTACAATACGAAACCCATCATTTAAAATTGTGAAACCAGGGTCATCAGCATAGCACCTGCCTGGCACAAGTCAGGTCCTGGGCTTATTTTCCTGTCCCTACAAAAAAAATTGTGAAACCTCTCCTTCCTGACAGGATGTTTCACCTTTCTCACATGTTAGCAGATTAGCCTTTACGACATCTGCATTTATAGCCCTCACTTTTTTGTAAGTTATAGACTCTGGTAGGCTATAACCTGTCATTTGCCTTTTGGGTTTGTTTTTTGTTTGCTTGTTTGTTAAGATGGGTTCTCTCTATGTATCTCTGGCTGGTCTCAAACTCATGGTGATCCTGCTGGGCTTACAGACAGGTGTTTCATTGGGTTTTTTTGTTTGTATGTTTGGTTGATTGGTTGGTTTTGGGTACCAGGGATCAGACTCAGGACCTTGCATTTGCCAGGCAGGTGCTTAGGCCACCAAGCTATCTCCCCAGCCACCTTCTGGGTTTACCGGTATGTGCAACCATGCCCAGCATCTGCCTTTTGTTTGTCTACACTAATAGTAACCTTTCTACTGTGTATAACACTGTTGATCGTGACTAAGTTGAGTAACACCGTCAGTGACACTAGCTTCTTTGTATAAATGTTTTCTACCAGATTGTAGACATAGTGAATTTCCACATGCGATCCAAATATTAGTGAGGTAGGTCACACAAACTCCACTCTTCTATTTCTCCAGTTTCTTTCTTTCTGATTTTGATGGTTTTCTGTACCTTCCCTTCCTTCCATAGTGTCTTTTCTAGTGATGGGGGGCCATTGTGACAGAAATCCCAGTGACTGTATAAAGTCTGACTGTAGTCATGTGCCCAAGTCACATGTTTCTGGACTCAGACTGATGCCTGTGTATACTTACTTGTGCTTTTCTGGCATCTCGAGTCTCTAACTGCACACACAGCTAGCTTTTGGGTCGTAATGCAAGACTTTGGTCCTAAGAAAAAACAAAGAATTTCATTCATAGCCCAAATGGTTCATATGTGAGGTCAGTCATAACTGAAGAAATAGACTCAAAAGAGAATGTTCTCCATGACACAGTATAAGTAGTGGTAGGAATCACTGAGGAAGAAAGATAAGGAAATCAGGCCGGGCATGGTGGTGTATGCCTGCAGTCCCAGCACTTGGGAGGCTGAGGCAGGCAGGTTGTTGCAAGTTCGAGACTAGTCTGGGCTACAGAGCAAGCTCAAGGCCAGCCTGAACTTCAGGAGACCCTGTCTCAAAAAGGAAGAGGGGCCAGGGAGATGGCTCAGTAGAATAAGCGCTTGCCTGGCTAGTGCAAAGGCCTGAGTTCCATCCCTGGTTCTGCACCACCACCCCCCAAAAAAAAAGAAGAAAGAAAAGAAAGTATTTAACTTTATAAATACAAAAAGCGGAGTCAAGATGTGAACTCTGCTACTGGCAGCACTTTGAGATAAGTAAAAATGAATAAGGAATGCTATGTTAACACAATAGAAAATCCACATAAACAGTCTTAAGAGTGGATTGTTTCTTACTGAAATTTTTTCAAAGACCTGTAGTCTCTGTCTGGCTTCTAAAGAGGTGTTCTCAGCTTGTCGTTTAA